AACTCAGGACATCCTTTCCCCCTAACAATCCCATCACATCATGAGCAACTACTGTCTTTCTCACTGATTAACCTTAAGATCATCATAATTGTTCTTGTTTCTGCCTTCTTCTCTTCCCCTGAAAGACTTGTTTAGTTTCTCTGAGTAAAAGACAGAGCAAACATTTCTGAGATCATTTGCTCTTAACAGATAAAATTTCAATTGTTTTCCTTTAAACTCACAGTTATCATACTATTAGTGTCCAAAGTAGGACATTTTTGGTTGAAAGAGTGAGAGGTAGGGAAAACAGGGTAAATCAGAGCTTTCTTGGGCAAACTGAATTGTATGGTACCTCTGCTCAAATTGATATTCCTGTGTCAGAGAGCAGGGGTAGGTCTTTTTTATCCTTGGCACTTATTGAATATTTCAAAATATTTACTGAACTCTAAGCCACTCTTGTCATTTCTACTGTGGTAGTAGTATTTCACATCTCCATCTGAGGCATTCTGAATGTGTTCTCATATAAATCCTAACTACATTTTTGTTTACCTTAAATTCATCCACATGCTCTCGCCTGTGTCTTCAGCCTCCAATGGCTACCTTTCCATATATAAAGTTTTAGAATAGAGCTTTTTCTCCTTCCTTTCATAAATTCTTTCCTTATGAACAAGTATGTTCTCTTGTTGCCTTGCAGGGTGGCAGCGCTGGAAGCCGCATACGCTGAAGGAAAGATTACTCAAAGTCAGCGTGCAGCAAATGAGAAGCCTAGAGGAGGGCACCGGAAGTATTGTTCAGCCCGGATCCAAAGCAGTCTGGTGTTTGTTAGCACCAAGTACAATGATGGGGCAGATTCATAGGGAGTATACAAGTGTGGCGGAAGCAGCTATCTGGGATGTGAGCTGGGGTGGAGTGACTCGGGCCTATTGCCTGGGGGGGCTCCATTGTTCCTGCTAGTAAAAGCGTATTATCTCTATTCTAATATCTACCTGCTGTTTTCAGCAGATGCTGGTTTTCCAGTATATTTCTCATAGCAGGACTTTAGCCCAAGGTGAGGCTTCCTGCAAACTGACAAGCAGGAACTTTGGTCACCAAGACAGTATTCCCGAGAAGAATGGGGGCTGGGGATCCCACATTCTTTCTTACTATTATACTCTTAAATCCTACTCTATCCTAGCTCTCAGGGTTGCCTCACCACCTTGAAATTTCCTAAAGTCCATAGGAACAAGGCATGTAAAACTAAATGATGTGAGTTATTGGTTATTCATACCATGATTATTTTTCACTTATTCGATGGACATTCTAGGATACGTTGTAAAGACCTATTTCCCTCCTTCCCCAGCAAACAAAATTAACAGAGCAAAACATGAATGTTAACATTAACACAACTTCAAGACCTCTGAAGCATTATATATAGCAGGATTAAGGCACATGCTTATTTAAAACAAAGAAACAGTCTATGTTTGGGTTGGTTTATTTTGAATGGAAGAGTTAGAGAAAATTGTGAGTGGATGTAACTTGAAAACTCTTGTGTAATGAGTCATAATAATCTACTTCTACAAGCTCTTACATATAATTTTAAAAATATTAACATGGTCCATATGTCACTGGTCTCACAGAGATTTCCATTAAAATTTTTCCACCAAAAATAAAATTAGGTGGTATTTAACCTCCACGAGCCAAAAAAGAAGGAAAAAAGTAAAGAAAAATCTTACACTATTTTATTCTTTTAAAACATCAAATAACGAAATATACTATATAAATAAGAGTATACAAATGAATATATATGTGTATGTTCTAGGTTTGCTCTTAAAAGGAATGTAATTTACAAGCATTCACTTTCCTTTTTAAAAATTTTGAAGCACTTGAATTATGTTTTCCTGCCCACAGGATATAGAGATTCTTAGAAATAATTTGTGATTAGGTACAGGAAGAGGTACCCTACAGTATCACACCAATATAGTGTATGTAGCTTAATGTTCTTCTTTTAATGTTCTGAAAGAACTAAGAGAAGGGGACTATATCTTTAATAAAAGCAGCAGTATATCCAAAGTCTTGGTGATTTAGGAAGTGAAGAAACTTTCAGGACTGTTTACCCTTAAAAAGCTTTCTCATTAACGGGCCTCCCTGGTGGCGCAAGGAGTTAAGCACCGCAGTATGAAGCAATCCGCAGTCTCTGCAGCACAAGTTCGATCCCCGGCTGGTCAGGGAGCAACCCACATGGAGCAGCAGACCTCTCCTGTTGCGCCCGCTACTCCCCTCAGCGGTATATTTCAGTCAGTCTGCCTGTTCTGTTTCCCACTCTGTCTCTGGTGAATCCTCTCACCCTCCACATCTCTGGCCTATACCCCAGTTCTTGTATGCATAAATAAATCTTTAAAAAAAAAAAAAAGCTTTCTCATTACCTATTATAGTGTCTGAAATCCAAACTTTGGAATTGCTCTGTTGAGTCACGAAGTCTTTTAGATATTCAAGATATCCCATTGAACTGGTGACTTCCCAAAGGATCATGTTTTATTTATCGCTAGCTCAGTTTCTGGCACATAATAGGGTGTTTAACAAAAAGTCTGCTGAATAAGTAAGTATTCAATACCAAACATTGCAAAGTACACTGAGACGGATAATATTTGAAGCTCAGGTCCAACTAACACTTGTTTGATAGATAGAGGAGAGTAACCTACAATATTTTTAGGCAAAATATGTAACTATTTTGAGCTAGGTCACCCAGGTTTGTGATATGTTTTTTCCAATTCTGGTTATACTTGATTATATTCTTGGAGATAGGGAGTCTGGACTGAGAGGGAAAAAAGAGCAAGGAGAGAGCCATTTTAAAGAGATTCTTTACTTCTTTAATTTGATTGTAACAATTGTCATTTATATAATGCTTATAAGGTTCCAAGATATCTATAACTTAAAGCATGTTTACATTTTTTATAAATGCATATGTAAGCTTGTAACTTTATTATGAAATGGTGTTATGATTCAAATGTGTGAATCCCTAGAATGAAATGTAACTTACACTTTAGAAGAAAATGTCAGTTTTGAAGTGATATGACACAATATCCTTAAAAAAAATGTATATATATCTCCTTGAAAAGCAGAGGTTTACAGTCAAGATGGACATTTTGACCATCACCACAGTACCGTTTGCACTGTAGATTCAATTAAGTTGATTACTCTCTTCAATCTGTCAAATAAGTGCTATTATATATTGCATAAACCTGTCACACTCAGAGGTAAAAATCTCTCAGGTAGTAAATAGCTGAGTCAGGTCTTTGGAGGAAACAGCTATTTAAAAACATTTATTTAGATGTCCTATGCCCACTAGCTGTCCTTCTCAAGTACAAAGTATTTTTGAATCCTTTAAGCTATGATTCAACTTTCTCCCCTTTATATTTTCTTTCTCTTTTAATCATCTATTTCCCTTCCTTTTTGTTTCATACCCTGTTTCTGAACATCCTTAACCTCAGTGATCAAAATTTAAAAAGGAGGGCAAGAAAGTGTGTGAGGATTATATGATATGGATGGGGGAAGCATAGACAGAAAGAGATAAGATTGGGGCCAAGTAATATTTTATTTATATAAAACACACATGCTCTCCAATTCTTCCATAACACATCTGCAGGTTGCAAGATTTGGTAGATGAATGGATATGTGTAAGAATGAAGTTAAAATGTGAATAGTGAGGAGGGTGGGGTGTAATTTCTTATTCTGAAAAATAAAACCCAAAACTACAACAAAATACAGAACAAACAGCTCCACTTTCCCCAATTTTTTTTTTATTTAAAGCAAATCCCACCCTTTCTTTCCTCTTGCCTGTGTGTATGTTTGACTTATATAGAAACAAAGATTGGAGAAAGGGGAATAATGGAAAATAAAATCTGTTTTGTAAACACCGTGGCGTCCCTTTTGGTGTTTGCAGAGTTCTCCTTGTATGTATTGTAGAGGAACATGCGTGCAAGAGAGTAAAGCATGGTCTAAAGTGGATTTCCCTTCACTTGCCATTCCTGGAGGAATTGTGTAGACCAATAAACACAACAGCCCAATAAACACAGTAAGAAAACTTCCTGAAGAACAAAGTGAAGATTCCTCTACGTGCTTTTTATTAAAGCATGGAGAAAATCTTGTGACTAGCTACAGATGGGCACTTTCTGACCAGTGAAAAATGATTATCATAATCATTTAAAAGTGTTTTTTGTTTTTTTTTTAATTCTAAAGGGCACGTGTATTCACATGGAACCAAAATGACAAAAAATTCGATCTTATTGCAGCTTTAATATGTTGGTGTCTCTCTCCGCCCCATTCCTGGCTTTAAAAAAAACAAACCCACACCACACACAGCATTTTGGTTTTGTTTGTTTTTTTAAGTAAGGTAATTTATGTAAAAAATGAAGTCAATTAATAGGTTTGACTCCAGAACTGCTCTAGAGAAGAGGAGCCATACCGGCTCTGGGGTGACACCGGATGTTAGTGGATCTCTTTGTCCAGCTCTGCAGTGATGTGCAGGGAGGATTCCTCTCGTGGGGATGAGAGCTTCCTTTATTGCAGTACCAGTTTCAGACCAATTATTAAGTATATACATGCTTGGAGGCCAGTAGATCTCCCAGAGAGCTTTGTGACAGCTTCTCTCATGGAGGTGGGTTGCAAAGGCTGCTAAAACCTGCGTGTCAAAAGCAAGGGGTGGGGAGACGCCATTTGCAAAGCCGGAAATGATTAAAATCTCGAGGTTGAGACCATTCCCAGTCAGCAAGGGCTTGCCAAGAGCACAGTTCCTGCTTCTGGTGCCTACTTTGAAGAGCATAGCATGGACGTTTGTCTACCATTCTATTGGCAGTAGGATCTCTCCAGTTACTGGTGAGCAAGGGGCGGGCAGTGAGTCAGTGGCGGGGCAGGCAGCGGGAAGTGCACTAATGTGAGAGGTCAGCGGCGAGCCCAGCTCAATGGCCTAGTCTCGTCGGGCTGAGGCGCGGGCCCTGCCGGCCTCCGTCCTCTTCCGCCGCCTCAGGTGCAGCGCGGATCCCTCCGCCGCAGCGACCGCTCCTGGTAGCGCTGCGATCGGCTTGTCGGCCATACCCGGATGGAAGCGTAATGGCCGCCATCAGGGACTCGCAGGCCATGGGGACCACGACAGGTATTCCCTGTGAGCGGGGCCGCCCAGACCTGGTAGGATGCCAGGACTTCTGAAGGGGCAGTCAGGGGGCAAAGGACGAGTTTGTGGGGCGCCAGGGCCTCCCGAGCGGGCTCAGGGTCCCGCCTCCTGTGAGAGGAAGCCTCTGTTAAATAGTCCCGGCCATTCAGCGCTTCCGGCTAACTTGCCGCAAAGTTTTCCTAGACAAGTCGGCCCTTTTCCCCGTGGCTCTGGCTGGCCGCTGGAGCACACCCCCGCCTCGCAGCCTGGGCTGGCCTCACGTCCCGGCTGTGCGCACTCCCCTCTCTCCCGCTACCTTGGAGCTGCAGCTGAAGCGCGGCGACGTGTGCCTCCGCGCGCGAGGGGCGGCCGAGCCCCGGAGGAAGGGGCGGATCCGGCGCGGTGTTTGGGACCGAGCCGGGCGCGGCGCTCGAAGCTCCCACTCGGCGCGTTCCGGGGCCGGTGGAGACAGCTGGGGCACCCCTCAGACCGCACCCCTCCAGCTGTAGGTTCGCGGGCGCACGGCCACCCGACTCGACGGCGTCCCCATTGTGGGTCCAGATTATGGTCTTTGGAGGTCTTTTCTTGCAGATATGCTCAGCTCTCTGCGCGCGCTCCCACCTCCAGAGTTGGCTGAAGGCGCTCTTCCCTGCAGACCCTACCATGCCCAGTAGCTGATGGATTTCTTTGTAACTGGCTGTCTCACTTGTAGGGTCCATTTTGAGTCTGTTCTTAACATGGTGGCCTCATTGTCAAGTAGACAGTGTCTTCCTGAATGGCTGTGGAGTTGGAAAATGTAGAGAGGGGATGTGTAGAAGACAATGTCATAACTCATAGGTAGGCCGATGAAACAGAATTGATAGCTTTAGGGTTCTGAATACAAACATGAAGGTTTGATTTCCTTTTTAGATTGAAATTTGGGGCATTGAGTGTTTGGGAGCTCTTTGAACGAAAACATTCGTTGGGTATGTTTGGATCAAAAGTCTTAAAAACCCTGGAAAAATAAAATAGGTCAATGTTTAAGGATTTCATAAGAACGTTGAACTTGGTACGCTTGTCACGATGATAAAACAGGAGGACACTCTACATCAGGGGAGGAATTTCATTAATTTGAAAGTCTCGGTGTCAGGCCTAGTTTACTGATAGTGTTGAATTGATTTCCTTGTAGCAAGGGATCTATCTGATTTGAGTGTTCCCTGAAGTTTAGTGTTCTCCGATTGAATAGATACGAACCATTCAACTTAAGTGAAATGCCCTGACATTTTCAGCTTAATAGCACTTTAAAGTCATTGTCTCTTAGGAAAACTGTGGTTTTTTTTCCCCTTGAAAATCATAAAGATTTTGCATTGCATTAACATTTTCAGGATGTTAGCATTTCATGGTGAACATAGACAGTGTTGATTTTTGTTAAAATTCTCATAATTCTAGATCTCAAATCTGTAAACAAAGGGGGAGATAGGGATGTAATGTTAAGTATTAGCAACCTATTGTGCAGTCAGTTTTTTCCTTATTGCAGTAACAGGAAGTTTAAATATCAATTCATACGTTTGATGTTTGGTTTTATGGAAGGATAAAAGGACAGTGACCACAACAAATACTTGCTGTGTGCATTGATAATTTATAAAATTTTAAATGGTTTTTATTTTTATGATGATGACACTTCAGATCCTATCCTTTATTCTTTAGTAGTAGTGTACTGTGGTCTTAATTTTTATAGCTTGAAGCACTCTGGAGGGCATATGTTTTGGCATAAATCTAGAGTTTGACTTTAAAATATACTTTAAACAAATCCTTTTAATATACTTTATTTTTCTGTTTGTAATTTTAATTGTTCTTATTTAGAGCATTATATGCTTTAAGACCACCTTCGTACAACTTTAAAAAAGAAAGACTTGAGTCTTACCTGGTTGGCTTTAGGTACTTACTAAAAACCTTTGGCAAAGAAAACTATAAGAAAAAAAGAGTGTGGTAAAGTTGAAATATCTATTATCTGATCTCAGGTGGTTAGGTTCTGTGTGGAGTGTTAGCTTCACATGGTGAGCAATTTTCATGACATGTTAGATATCAGAAGTGAGTGTTAAAAGAGATCGCATTATGGTGGTAGAATATATGGGTTGGAGTCAGACCCAAATTTTAGTTCTACTTGGTAACTTTGGGCAAAACTCATTTTCCCTGTCTTGTAATAAATTAAGAAGTCGAATTAGATTTGAGTGTAAACTCCCTGCTAATCTTTGCGTTTTGTGACTTCTGTAAATTTATGACTTTATCATTGGGTATCAATGATAGGTTATTTGCCTAAGGGCCAAGAGGTAGTTTTCTTTCTGAAGTTGTGCACTTAAGTTAACTATGAAATGAACTTGAATCAAGAGTGTAAAACCATTTTACTAACAGTTTTTGCATAGTTTTAAAATCTTGATCTTCATTTCCAGATATCATCTCTTTTGATTGCTGTTCCTGTATTGTGACTTTGCCCAAGCATTAAATTGTGTGCCTTTTGTTCCTTGAAGAAAGGAAGGTATGGTAAAGATAGAAGTATATGTGCTATTAAATAGTAAGTTGATGTGTTTTAATATTGAACAAAATAAAGTAAAATAGTTATGTATATGTAGCTTTTCATAAGTTATAGTTTTATTTTTAGCCTAAATAGAATACTTAATACATGGGTTTTCATTTAATGTTAATGAAAAGCATTTTTGGTTTCATAGTATATTACTTAACATTTCATTATATCTAACATTTTAAACTGTATCGTCCTTCTTCTATATGTAAATGTAACTAAGGACTTATGGATAATGAACGATGGAAATAAATATGGCAGACAGTTGCATTGAAGCTGTAGAAATGGTCAGAAGAATGTTTTACTCCAGCAAGTGCAAAGTAAATACACCTAAAGAAAAATTGTCTAATGTATATGTTTTTTTCTATATGACTAATGGCATCTACATTCTGAGTTAGAAAAGAGAATTGGGAATCACTGTAGAGTTATGATTGGTTTTCTGAAGGCAATCATCTGAATAATTTGGTGTGGACAAAAAGAGGAAAAAAAATCTGCCAACATATCCATGGTTTTTTAAACTTTTTTTTTTTTTTTTTTTTTTTTAAATAGAGGCATGTTTATTTATTTATTAATTATATTTGTTTGTTTGTTTTGTTTATACATGCACTGGGTACAGTCAGAAGCGCGGGAGGGTGAGAGAATTCACCAGAGCCACAGTGGGGAGCAGAGCAGGCAGAAGGACCGAAGTACACTGCTGAGGGGAGCAGCGGGTGGCAGGAGAGGTCTGCGCACCATGTGGGATCCTCCTCCGGTGGCCGGGGAACAGCCGGGGATCGAACCGGCGCCGCAGAGGCCGCGGGCAGCTTCGCAACCCAGCGCTCAACCGCTGCGCCACCGGGGAGGCCCATATCCATGGTTTTTTAAAGAGATTTATTTTTATTTTTGCATGCAAGAGCTGGGGTGGAGGCTAGAGGTGTGGCGGGGTAAGAGGATTCACCAGAGACAGAGTGGGGAGCAGAACAGGTGGATTCACTGAAACATACTGCTGAGGGGAGCTGCAGATGAGACAGGTCTGCTGCACCGTGTGGCTTAGCTCCCTGGCCAGGATTGAACTTGTGCTGCAGTGGCTGCTGATAACTTCACAGTGCTAACACTTAACCCCTTGGACCACCAGGGAGGCCCCCATATCCATGGCTTTATAAGGAAAGTTTTGCAAGTTCAGTGGAAAATATTTTACCCTTGTGCAGGAAAAAAACCATGATTTATCTGCTCTTGAAACAAGTGTTTCTTGCTGTTTGTGTTCAATAGGTCCTGAGACACCACATTACATAGTTCCCCTCACCAAATGAATTAGTGTGCCCATAAGTATAATCCTAAGTTAGGAATAATATTATGTATGTAACTACAGAAGTAACTAAAGTAGACCTAAAGTAGACTATACCACCTTAAATTATTACTTTAGTAATCATAATCATGTTCAGTGATTTCAGTAGCAGCTTTTTTTTCAGGACCATTTTTCACAAAGTCTTTTTTTTTTTTTTTTTGTTATAAGTTAATGTCTAAAAATAACATGAGTAGAACACAACAAGGCTGAGTTGATACCAGGTTATTTTTTATGTTCATTTACTTGAGCAAGTTCTTATATGACGTCTGACACCTTCTATAGTCGATAACACATGGGTACTGTAAAGCCAATGCTGATGCTAGGAGTTTAATATTAGTGCTCAAATATATCAAAAAGAGTAATATGAAAAATAAAAAATCCTAAATAAAATGAAGTAAACAGGAGATTGTTGGAGGTTATGGCTGGTAGCATCAACACACATGGATTTTGTTGACACATTATCTTGATTTGGGAAGCTATCCCTCCCCTATTTTGAGTTCTTTGTTGGCTATCAGTCTTGTAACTCAATTCTAATCATCCCTGTTGCAATAGTGATTGCCTGTTGCTCAAGCAGAGCCAATCAGAGTCCTTTTTCCCTCTAAATTAGTTGTAATCCTATCTGTAGTGAGACAGTGAAGCCATATAGAGATGGGGGATGGTTGGAAAAAGAATGCCTATTTCAGTTTCAGAGACTATGTTATGTGGTCTATAGTTTTCTTTTGATTCTATTAGTTTCCCTCATATCTTCCCCAGTCTCCAGGGCCAGAATTCTGTTTATAAATTAGTGTGACTTGGATTGGCCGCAGAAAATGATGAGTTCTGATGAGTATGTGGCCCTTAGGAATTCAAGATCTGTAGCTTCAAGTTGATCATTCACATCCATCTACAGTATGTTTTTTTCCTCTACCTATTTTTCATGCATCATTCATGTATTCAGTCCTTCGTTCAACCTGCAACCATTTATTGAATGTCTGCTATGTACAATTATATGCAACTACCTATGTATAATTATATGCAAGGATTATTCATACTAGGCTGAGTGGATGATAGACTTTCTTTAGTATAACATTTTTTTATGTGTTTAGGTTAAACAGATCAATAAACATGTGTTGAGAATAATCAGTGCTATGCTTAGCATTTTAGAAATATGTAAGAATAAAAGAAATTCTTCACCTTAAAGTGCTTATAGTTTGTTTAAGAATCCAAATTAATGTACATTAAAAAAACAGAGCAGATAGATGAGTATACAATTGTACAGTATGGATTTTGAGTTTTGAGTTGTGGTAGGAAGGACATTAGTGAAGACAGAGTCTAGAAAGACTTCTTGAATGGGTTTTGACTTATGAGTTGGGTTTTGATAGGCATAAAGTATAATTGAAGAAAGGATGGAGTTGAAAATGATTAAGGGCTGATCCAAGATGGAGAAGAAATTCGTTTGGTTCAAACAACTTGTATTTTAGGGGAATGAGAGATAGTGGGAAGAAAGTTCGGCTATTTTAGGTACATCTATATATGAAGCATTTTGAAAGCAAAACAGAAATTTTGTTTTTTTCCCTAAGGTGGAGATTTCTAGTTATTTTTCAGTGAGATGGCATTTTTGTGATGCTAAAATACAAAATAGGTTATCAAGTGGTATACATTTATCTTTGTGGAAAAAAAATCTTGTTGCTATATTTGTCTACCTTGAAGATTTTTTAAAACAGTAATTAACCTGCAGTGCTGTTCTGTTTTATGTATGTAATTAGTCTGTATTTTCTTACCACTCCTTTTTGGAAAATCCTTAGTTTCAAAACCATTCTCCTCCCTAGAGATGCAGCCAGTTCAAAGCTAGTGTAGCAGAAGATTTAAAAACATTTTAAAAGAGATAGGCAATGGAATTAATGTTTAATTGTTCATAGAATATTCATTTTGAGCTCCAGATGCTCAGAATGAGGTGCAGGTTAATGCCGTGTCAGTCTCTTATTACATGCTGTGTTTCATAGGTCTTTGCCTACGTACTTTTTTCACAGCCAATTATCTGACTTTCAACGCAAGAGAGTTAACAGTTGGAGTATCCAGAGACACTCAACTCAGAGAGTTAACAGTTGGCAAACTTTTGCGATAAATGGTCAAATAGTTTATATTTCAGGCTTTGTGGGCCATATCAGCTGCTGTTGCTATAACATTGAAGTAGCCAGAGACAATATGTAATTGAATGAATGTGGCTGAGTTCCGATGAAACTTAATTTACAAAAACAGGCAGCAGGCTAGATTTGGCCCACAGGCTGTGGCCGTAATTCAGTAACCTTTGCTGTAGGTTTAGTGAGACATTTTATTCCACAACTCTTCACAGTCACCTCTACCCACCTGCTAACATCCTCCTCTCTAGTAGCTGTCAATGAATTATCTTTATTCTAACTTCAGCTTTTCCATTTCTTTACTAGATTCCTATTCCCTCTACTGAAAGATACCGCTGTTGCATTTCTTTCCTTCCTCCCGCCATCATCAGTTATTCCATTTTTACTGATCATTTTCGCAGGCGTGCCATCATACTGTACTTTCTCATCTCAGAGAAACAAAAACACAAATCCAGTTAAACCCTTTATCTTTTTTTCCTGTATAGTACCAAGCAAATTTTTAATTCTTTGAAAAGGGTTGTCTGTACGACATCTCTACTTCTTTTCCCATTTTTCTCTTAAAATTGTGCTAATCTGCCTTTTCCCTCTATAACTCCGCTGAAACAGTTTTTGTGTCATTAGTAGTCTTGATATTAAGTGCAGTGGTCAATTCTTAGTCCTCATCTTACTTGACAGAGTTGATCATCCCTTATCCTTAGGAATAGTTTTTCATTTTGCTTTCAGGATACCATTCTCCTGATGTATTTTCAGTCTCACTAACTGTTTCTTTCTCATCTCTTTCCTAGTATCATGAGGCTCAGGCCTTGGGCTTCTACCTTTGTTTACCATTGCTGATTTCATCCATTTCTACATACGAAACTACATACACACATATTCACACACACTGATGACTCCCAAAATTTTCTCTTACTCTTGCGCCTCTGTATCCTATATTCATATTCACATTCAGCTGTATGACTAAAACTGAACTGCTGATAGATATTCCAAACTTACTATTCCCACAGTCTTTTCTAGCTTAGTAAATAGCAACTCAGTTCTTTCAGTTGTTGAGATCAAGATTTACAGAGTTATCCTTGACATTTTTCTTTTCTTGTAGACCAAATTTAGTCTGTTAGCAAATTCTATAGGCTCTATCTTTAAAACATATCTGGAGTCTGACCATGCCTCATTGTTTCCACCAAGTTGCCATCATCTTTTACCTGGGTAATTGTTGTATAATCGCTAAACTGGTCTCCTTGCTTTCACTTTTACTTCCTGCCAAATATTCTGTTTTTAACATAGCAACCAAAGTGATCAGCCCATGGTATTTCTCTGCCCAAAATGGTCCAGTAACTTTTTGTCTCATTCATAGTAAAATCAAAGTCCTTAGCAATTTTAGTCCTCTACTTCTTTGACTTCACCTCCTATTACTTTTCCACTGGTGCTTTCTCTTCCAGTTACATTCAGGTTATTGCTGTTTCCCAGATATGTCAGGCATATGCCATACCCATGGTCTTAGGACTTAACTATTTATTTAT